ACTCATTGATATTAGCACATATTACATCAGCAGCTGAGACTATGGATTACAAACCTTTGAAGCTCATAACCTTTAAATATTTGGAGTGTGTGGGCTTAAGCAGGCTCTATAAACCGGTCTCAACTGGTCCCAGCCATCTCCAAAATTTCTAGCTTTGCCACTAATACTACAATCAATAAACCATCTATTTCTGAAATTCAAACTTACATCACTTTGCACCTTTTTTGAAGATCTGTTGTGCACAGAAAAACACATGTGCACCTGTTTTAAGACACACAAACTTTCTGAGGTTCAGGCCCTTAGTGTTTTGTACAGAACACAATATTCCTGGTTCAAAAATTCTTGGATGGGATTTGTCTTCCAGTCCTCTCAAGGCTGCATCAATCCCTGTTGCTAAAAAACCTTTTAGCCACTTTTTATCATTTCGACATCAATGGGCTGGCCCAATAATTATTGCCAGATACACCTGATGGCTAATCCAACCCCGAGCACCACATAGTGCCAATAAAATAGGTGTTAGATTAAATTTCACAACTCTTAGCAGCCCCTGTTTATTTTTGTTCATGTTTGTTCATTAATGTTTTATGAATTTAACATATTAGATCAGAGGTTTTATAAAACTTCCTTTAGCTCCTAAGATAGTAGTATCTTTGAAGTAGAGTGAACTTAGCTTTGTTTAAAGACGACATTCTAAACTCATTAATATTATTGTTGGATATACTTTGTCAGTAATATAATAGCAACACTGATACGTGACACCAAGGGTGTAACTTTGTACCTTTTTTCGGTGGGGACGCTCTAAGGATAGTGGTTAATGGACCTACAGCTACTCAACCCACACAGTTTCACTAGCATTTATACACTATATTGCCAAAAGTATTTGCTCACCCATCCAAATTATTGGAATCAGGTGTTCCAATCACTTCCATGGCCACAGGTGTATAAATTCAAGCACCTAGGCATGCAGACTGTTTTTACAAACATTTGTGAAAGAATGGGTCGCTCTCAGGAGCTCGGTGAATTCCAGCGTGGAACTGTGATAGGATGCCACCTGTGCAACAAATCCAGTCGTGAAATTTCCTCGCTCCTAAATATTCCACAGTCAACTGTCAGCTGTATTATAAGAAAATGGAAGTGTTTGGGAACGACAGCAACTCAGCCACGAAGAGGTAGGCCACGTAAACTGACGGAGCGGGGTCAGCGGATGCTGACGCGCATAGTGCGAAGAGGTCGCCAACTTTCTGCAGAGTCAATCACTACAGACCTCCAAACTTCATGTAGCTCAAGAACAGTGCGCAGAGAGCTTCATGGAATGGGTTTCCATGGTCGAGCAGCTGCATCCAAGCCATACATCACCAAGTGCAATGCAAAGCGTCGGATGCGGTGGTGTAAAGCACGCCGCCACTGGACTCTAGAGCAGTGGAGACGCGTTCTCTGGAGTGACGAATCGCGCTTCTCCATCTGGCAATCTGATGGACGGGTCTGGGTTTGGCGGTTGCCAGGAGAACGGTACTTGTCTGACTGCATTGTGCCAAGTGTAAAGTTTGGTGGAGGGGGGATTATGGTGTGGGGTTGTTTTTCAGGAGCTGGGCTTGGCCCCTTAGTTCCAGTGAAAGGAACTCTGAATGCTTCAGCATACCAAGACATTTTGGACAATTCCATGCTCCCAACTTTGTGGGAACAGTTTGGAGCTGGCCCCTTCCTCTTCCAACATGACTGTGCACCAGTGCACAAAGCAAGGTCCATAAAGACATGGATGACAGAGTCTGGTGTGGATGAACTTGACTGGCCTGCACAGAGTCCTGACCTCAACCCGATAGAACACCTTTGGGATGAATTAGAGCGGAGAGTGAGAGCCAGGCCTTCTCGTCCAACATCAGTGTGCGACCTCACAAATGCGCTTCTGGAAGAATGGTCAAAAATTCCCATAAACACACTCCTAAACCTTGTGGACAGCCTTCCCAGAAGAGTTGAAGCTGTTCTAGCTGCAAAGGGTGGACCGACGTCATATTGAACCCTATGGATTAGGAACGGGATGTCAATTAAGCTCATATGTGAGTCAAGGCAGGTGAGCAAATACTTTTGGCAATATAGTGTATTTTCCAAAAATTAGTTAAAACATATATTTATTGAATGCTTTCCTATTGTTGAGCACAGAAGAGAACCACTGATAACACTGATATTTATAGTTATAGACAGATGCCTGCCTTTAGAGCATTATTTATAAAGGGCTCAGAAATATTAATGTATAAAAAAATGACAAATAACACCCAAAATCGATGCCAGCAGCAATATATATCATGCATCCCTAGTATGGATACAACTTCAATTCCGTCCATCCACACATGGCTTCACTTTAAGCTGCATCAGTGATTATCCTCCCTCACAAGCAGCAAAATCAAATTTAGAAATTTGTCCAATATGTTGTTGACAGCGAATGTCTATCTTATGAACCTTATATTTCAAAAATCATTTATATACTGATTTTTATTATTTGGGCTTTAATTCTTGCAGGTTTCTTATATTTTAATTTGACGTGTCTCGTGTGAGTCTGGCTGTCTCTGGGTTGACTGGCACAGCTATTTCTGGGTCTTGTTCAACTACAAAAGACATGTTGAATTTTCTTATAGCAATGAGTATTTTTTCTTGTAAATTTGGAGATATATTTTATTGCATGTTGCATATCCCAGTAAATCTGTTTCACCTTTAAATCAGCAGCTGTCCCTAATTGTGTCTCTGCTCTGCTTAAAACAGATTTATGAACCTGTCTACCAATATAATGATGCAAGAGAAAATCATTTTCAAGATATCTACAAGCTCTGCAGTCTGATTCTCTGTTCAATAGGAAAACAACAGATATGTGTTCATTCTAATCTGGAACTCTGAGTAATGGTCCTGAGAAGCCTAGCTTTTTTAACTTATATAACTGTAAACTCTGTTGTCATTTTTAGCTTAAAAAGCTCTGTATGTATAACTAACAGATTTTTTGGTGGCATCTCTAATTTTCTCTAACCAACCAGTCTCCTACATTTTACTTAAACATATATCAAAGTAGCTGCGGGTTAAAATTCTCAGAGTGCTGCTGTGTGTCTCTCCTCCTCCACGTAGCGACTCTGTACGCAGTGTATAGCCACCCCAAATCGTATTTGTCCCAAAGTAACAGATCCCATGATATTTCACAGAGAGGTGGGACTCGATAGCGGAGAGCGAGGAAAAAACACGGACTGAAAATGCTCTGAACACAGTTAGTTGCCCCCCACCCCAGTTACTGTTGGCCAAAGTAAATCAGCGGAAAAAGTGGAAATTATTGGTGGGGACTGTTCCCTCCATGCCCAAGGTTTGGTCGGGACATGTCCACCACAGTCCTTCAGAAAGTTACGCACAATAAAATAAAGATGTCTTCACAAATGTGTAGTTCATAATCTTACTTCTATCTTCGTGTGTCTTAGAGATATACATCCTGCAGAATGTTGCCACCTGTTTACTTTCTAATACTTGCTCTGAAGGAGGCACAAGGGGATTCCATTAGCATTAGAACCTCAGCAAGGAACTCACAGTGAGGGAGCAAAGGATCCAGGTGCAAGCTGCACTACACAGATCATAAGTACATTTGTTCATCAGAAAAACAATGCAGTTGTTTAATTTGCCACTCTCTTAGTCCACAGATGTTACCTTTTATAACTTTTGACTGTACAGGTGTTCTTCTTTCATCTGTTGAATTAATATCTTTTGATTTTTTACAGTTTTTTTTTGTCAGAGAGCAGCACTTACTGGCACACATACAGTATGTGAGAGCTTTTCTTGAAAACAGTTGTCACCTTTGTTACTGTAAGACATCTGTTCTGTGAACTGTACCTGTGGTTCATATGTGTCACAAATATCAAACATGAAAAAGCAGCATATAAAAAATAAGGAGGCCATAATCCTCGGGTACCAATTGCTTGTTCTTGTAGAAAAAAATTACCTTAACATCTGTTAGGCATTAGGAAACAAATACAATTCGCTACCCACTTAGTTTCCCATTTATATTCCTACCTGCTTTGATAGACAGAGAGCCAAATGAAAAGATGACAGCACCAAAATAACCTAAAGTGAACCTCAGATAAAAATCCCCATTCATCCTATTATGTTGTGGAAGTGCAATCTAGGGATAGCAATACAATAAGCAGATTCCTGCAAACTCCGGATGACCCAAGCACAAAGTGTGGTTGAAAGGGATAATGCAGTAACACTTATTCATCATCCACATAATTGCATGGCTCTCACTCTCCTACATGACAATCCAATGTGACCATTGGGTCGTAATTGGTATTCTTAAAGCCATTCATATTCCAATATTCATAGTGCCCTTTCTCATTTCCTGTTTAATAAATGCAACTGTTAATTGATAGTGTCAAAACACAATGAAGAAGGCATTTAGAGTAGCTATTTCCTAGATTGCCAAAGGTTAAAGAGCATCATGCACAGTTAATGGATACTTAAAAAGACAGGCCAGATTGCTAGAGAGTAATAGCAGACTGATTAGGTCAAGTGCTAAGGGTAAAAATGAAGAAAAAATGCTGGAAAAAACAGTTATCTTGGTGGATGACAACACTATCATGAATGGAAACTGTTTTATAAAAAACAACAGTTGTTTTTAATCTTAATGAGGAACACAGATGCAACACATTCAAAAGCTACACTTGTGACTGGATTTCTTTAAAGCCACATAAATTATGAATGACAGAGCGACTGCCATTTTAACAACACACATATATATATATATATATATATATATATATATATATATATATATATATATATATTTTTTTTTTTTTTTATCATAGTAATATTATTGTATATAGGATGTGGCAAGTCAGTGATTCGGACTAACTCATGGAAAGGCACTTTTTTAAAACAGTGAAGCCTAAAATTACTCATAAAACAGAAATAACTTTTTTTTCTTTTTACATTTCAGCACCTTAAATAATGTTTTGTTAAAAGGGGATCTGATACTGCACCTGACACATGTTCCTCCATTGCGGCAGGGAAGGTGTTGGCATACGGGTGGGTCACAGTTCTTGATGTTCCTCCCCTTCACTGCTTCACCCACCAGGTCAATCTCCACTGAGTTGACCTGAAATTCCTTGATGCAGCCAATGAATCTCCTCTGCTCTTTTCCTCTTTCACCATGCCGCTCCCAGTGGGATGAAACATCCCCAAGAAAAATGGGTCCAAATGTCCTCTGCAAAGAACATACGAAATCTTAAAAGTGATTTTTCCTCAATAAATTAGTCTTTGAAGTTAGAAAATACTGTGTGTAACAGTCAGGGGTGTTGCACCAGTGGGGGCGTGGGTGTTAAAACACTCACACTTTGGGTTGTAAGATGGTTTTATTTTCACACTTTTTTTCCAACAGCAGTCTGTTTCCTCTGTTTTGCCTTCACTATATTTGCCCCATCCCTCTTGTTCCTCACCTCCCTGTCCTGTTGCTCCCGAAAAATTAACACTGGCTGCTGATTGGCTGCTCTACCTTAAGTCCTGCCTCTTGTTTTGCGTTTGTCGTCATTTATCTTGTGTTGGGAAAACACCAAAACGAGAACTTCCTCAAATTAAATCCTCAAGATGCTAACATATACTTTCTCCAGACGTGCTAGCATATTACACATGAAAAAAAGTCTCAGTCATGTTAATCAGATTCATGGCACTGTTAAGATTTTACTTGTCTTTGTTACTTAATATAACCAAGATATTGAAAAATTATAATACTGATAGCTTAGTTAAAGAGAAACCCTGCAAGTGATATTAATGTAAATAAAAGCCTGTTTCAATGGTAAAACAAAAAATCAAACAAACAAAAAATATTTCTTAAAATAAACTTTTCAGTTTAAGTTTAGCCATAAAGTATCTCGTCTGAGTAATGAGGCAGGGCATTGTTGGCCTAGTGGGTTTAGAACAGTGTGCTTGTGCTCTGAAAAGGTTGCAAGTGCCTGGTTTGATTCCCACAATCTCCACTCTGGGTTCCTGAGCAAGACCCTTGACCCCTGATTGTTCCCCGGACGCTGCACAATGGCAGCCCACTGCTCCCCACGCGGATGGGTTAAATGCAGAGGTAAATCTCTCCAATGTGAGATCAATAAAGTTCAATCATTATTGGGTACTCAAGAGTACAAAAATATTTGGTGAAAAGCAGCTATAAGTAATTGAAGATCTGATTTTATATTGGCAAAATGGTGTAAAGTAGCATAAAACATAAAGATATTTTATATAGTTTATCCCAAAGGGAAATTAAGTCTTATAATAACGTATGGGCTATTTCTTCCAACAAGTTTTAAATAGATTTTTTTATTCATACCTTCTCACATTTCCATGTTTGTGGCATGAAAATTGAACTGAGGCCCAGTTCAATAAGACACTATAGAAAAGAAAGGGAAAAAGATTAAACCTAATTATGTGTGGCTCGAATTTAGCAATCTAACAACTGCATGATAGAAACTGTTTCTGAGTCTATGAGTCTTGTTCTGCAGGCTTCTCAGCTGCCTTCCAGAGGAGAGGCCCAGAGAGTCTATTCTTTCACATCAGAACAGTAGCTTTTTACCAGTCCACTGTTCATCTTGAACAGTGGACTGGTTTAGGGGAAAAAATACAATATTGTTAATTTAGGTTAAAAACACCTTTAATCAAAGAGAGCAATGAGTCCTTTGCATCACTGTTTAAAAATGTTAGTCCACACTTTGCAAAATGAAAAAAAAATGCCTACATTTAGCTGAATTGTGCTTGAGCATTACTATATGTTTTCTTTTAAAATATTTGGTAAAAAGCAGAATTACCTATTCAACCAATTATGTCAAGACCCTTAGTTTAAGCACCAAATTTGCCACACACCGATATTTCCTGTCAGTTTAACTAATTGTGAAATGTTGTCAAGCCAAATATAAAAAGGCACACACATTCTAGAAACATTTTATTTTCCTGTCAGTTTACAGAATATATTTCATAATGTCCAAAAGATCATAAAGATCTTTTTGGGTTATTATTTTATTTTATTTTTGAATTTGCTGGAGTTTTCACCTTCAAACTCTACTATAGATGACATTCTTGCCCAGGCTCTTTCCTACTGATGAATTTCAAACACTGACTTTAACTGAGGCATGTGAAGCCTGTGAGGCCTGTGGTGCCTTAGATGTTGTTTGGAGTTCTTTTGTGAAACTCGTCGATGAGTCATTTTTGCTCTCTTGGAGACAGGACACTCCTGGGTATGTTCAGAACTGCTCTATGTTTTTCAATCGGGGAATAATGACTCACAGATTTTCGATGAAGGCCCAAAGCTTTATCAATGACTTTGGGTATGTTCCAAACTGAAAGGTCTTTGTTTTGTGTTCTTTTATTTCTTGATGTCTTTTCACCTACATAACATTGATGAACAGGGATTTCTTGTTCTGATGTCTCTAGCTATTTTTAAGCTTTGTAGTTGACTGACGAAATTAAATTAGCTGATTTAAAAAACACTTTTATAAATGACAATAAAGTTCTCAGTCACTTTTTAACAAAGTTTTTTTTTCCTTTTAAGTCAAATCATAACCTCAACCTCAAACTCCATGTTGTGTTCATGCTTTCCACCATATTTTCTTTTTTACAATCTGAAACATTTCAGTGTGCCTAAAAAGGATGAACAAATTAACATTTGCAAATTACTTTTTATGGCACTCCGGCTAAACAAATTAAAACAGATATCTCACTTGGATGGTAAACAAGAAGAAGCCTTTCAAAAACAAACTTCAAAAGTTTAGAGAATGTGGAAAGGTCTCTATCATAAGTAAATTATAGAAAGCAGCAGAGGAGGTGTTGGTGGAGGGTCACTAAAGTGTCTACATGACTACATAATTATTTAGGATGTCTGCTTAATGCAAGCTTTTGGTGACCTGACCACTGGTCATCTGAAAGCACATAAATACATGAACGGCAGGATTCATGGGAATGCTATGTTCATTCATCACATGGTTAAGAGCCCTCAGAGTATCTTTAATAAAGCTTAAGTGTCAAATAAACCAAGCTTTGAGCCTGGGAAAATTTTACAATAAGCAAAGCTTTATTTGTGTGATACAATCAGTGATGAGCTGCTGCAGTTGTATAATAAAGATGCACTGCTGAATGAATTTATGGCCCCTTCAAGTATGTTTACCATGTTTATGAGAAAAGTCCATTTCAAATGCTCACTTATGCAATATTCATGACTTTGTAAGTGGACCGACAGCAAAAGAGTTCGTAGGAGCTCTATGCTCATTTTTAAAATTTCATCTTTAGGCAGCACTTGTAATCGACTATGCAGATATGCTGCATGGGTAACAAATGGTCTTCTGCTTATGAAAACAAACACTTAAAATAAACGAGGGAGAAAAAAAACTGTCATAAATACTGACTGAAAATGTACAGCAGCAGATATTTTAAAATTCAAGGTCTTTGATGTTTCGCTTTCTCCACGAGGACAACTTGATTTCTGTACGTAATATTGAGAAAACAGGGTTTTAAAAGAGTGTGGAGAAGTATTTTCTTCAAGTAAAGAGAGTCCTTGAAGAGAGTTTTCTCACTCTCTTAAGTGGTTTGAAATTCTATTAACACTTTCACCTTGGCCACAGTGTACTTTACAATATATGAATAATGTTTAGCTGTTTTGTGCTGCCTTATCCTGAATTAAAAACCATTAGCTATATGTAGGCCTGGATAATATGTAGAACATATATTGTTATAGCACCCTCTGTTTGTAACAATTCATTTACAATGTTGTCTTGAGTTCATACTTTTCATGCCATTGATCTATTTAGCCCTTTTGATGGAGTCTATATGCATTTAAATGCCCAGACCTGACACACATCATATTTCCCAAGATACCAAAGGTCACAGAGAGAGTCAGAAGCATAATTTGCACTCAAAGGATGTAGCCTTAGCCATACATTTTCTGAGACACGTGTAATCATTCTTTGACACTTGTAAAATCAATTGGTGTATGAATGAATGCTATAAACTACTTGTGCTCTGTGGACCCTTGTGAAACATTAGTATCAATACAAGCTGAGAGTTTTACTACTTTGAATAATTATTTTCAATTTGAAAGTAATGACAGAATTTGACCTCAATTAGTGGGAAGTATATCATTTTCAATTCAGCCTGATTTTGTATAACGACACATTACTGCAACGTAAAATTAGCCATAGCAACATTAACTGCTCGATTAATGATTAACAAAATAACAATTCATTTTTAAAAGATGTCCCTTCTTTATTTTTGGAAATTTCAAATTTCCAAAAGTAAACAGAAATGCTTTTTACTTTTAAACGATTTCACCAAAATAAATTTAACATTTTAAACATTTAAGTAACTTTTCAACCGTCAATGAATATTTTCGTACTTTTGTGATTTTATGTCGACTTAAAACCACTTCACTGATACCTCTGTCATAGTCTGAGGGGGTCTGTATTGCTTTCACTGGCACAAAGAAACTTTGAGGAGGATGGCAATAACCATGTCACAGAAATCTACTACAAATGTGCAGACTACTTTACTGCATATGTCATTTCACCATTTCTGCATTCGTTGTAAAGATGCGACAAAATGTCCCTGAAAGACTGACTGTGTTCCGAATGTCTGCCCCGTAGGGGTTCCACCATTTTTTTTTTGTCCAAATGTCTAGTGGATAAAAAAGTAGTGGATCCAACAATTAGATGAGCAGAAATATTCCAGAATGTTTTGCAACAGCCTTTTTCGCAAAGCATCATGGGATTTGTTTTGGGGAGGAGAAAGTACAAATATGAGGGGAAGGGACCGTACGGGGAGCCGGTGTCACGTGACCGTCGGGAAGCAAAAAGTAGTGATCATCTGGGCAGTTAACTGAGTTCACTATAAAGTCTATTAAGCCCCCCGCTCTATATAGTGATTAAGGGCTTAAAGGTGGTGTTCGGACACAGCCTGTATATTGGTGCAAATTGAGCAGGGTTGATATTCCGGCAATGCGGCACCTATCAAACATAACATTATATTTAACTGTTTCAAGGCTCTAATCTCATCTGCATATCAGTCGCTGATGAGTCGAAGGACGTGGCTGCAGTGCAGGAATAAGGTACAAAACTGAAGTTAAATGTTTCTTATTTTTAACATCGTCATATGACAGTGTTTGATTACAGATAGATTCATTACCCGCAGGTTAGCCCAATTATGGTGAAAAATTAATGGGATTTGATCTTTCTTTAC